TGTCTAGAAATAGTTCATTATTCGCTTCGATGATCACTGATGTGCACTGGGGAGTTCCCTTCTAGCATTATGCTCGGTATGGGCCATCGAAACCCTTAAGCTTAGCCGCCTGTGTTCCGGGTAGCACCCAGCACGATACTGTGTATTAGACGCTAGAACTTGAAAAGCTCGGTAGCCGGGAGGCTCCTGATGGTGGTGCAATGTTCGAGGTCCCTGTTCTAATCTTTTATTCGATATTAACACGTGCTCGGGTGGGGGGTCAAATTGACGCCCCCCTCCCGAAGGTTTTTTCGGAAAGGTTTCCGAACGGCGCGGCGTAGCCGCGCCAAATTTTGCATAGCTGGCGAAAATTAAATAGCGGATCATTTGACATAACAGTTTAGATGTACCTTTTGAGGCCGCTGATCTATGACAGGTCAGAGTCAGGGCATGGTTCAGCGAAGGCAATTTCTATGGAATCGTCCAATCTGATACAATAACGGAGTGTTTGACGAAGCCATACATCTCTGAGATCCTTCCTTAGGTACCACAAATGTTGAATGAGCACATTACGTTGACCTACGGTCAGGTATGAAGGTCAGACCAAGGTCAAAGCCAACCTGATTTATTACTCTATTGCTTGCTGTATGAGATAGTTTGTGGTGCTCATTTCAAATGTATTGACAGCAGGAATCGTATTATACAGCTTCCATTGACTCTTAGACGTCAGAACAGGTCACTGACCTAAGATGATCTGGGTCGACATTTTGTTTTAGGAATATACTGCCTAGCGTAATCTTTGTTTCCTTTTTTTGCTTGGAAGTTGCCTAGGTTCTGGGGCCAAATTAGAGGCCAACCTGGAATTTGACATTGCTTGATCCTTATTTGACCTGAAGGTCATGACCTAGGAAGCTCAAACTTTAACCTAAGTGAGTTTACCTGCAGATCAAGACAGCTTGTAGATTTAGGTGTCTCTAGCTTTCTTAGTTTCCGAGATCTCAGGGGGGTCAAATTGACCCCGAGCGAAGGGTATCTAGCCGGCCACCCGGGCGCGTGTTAATCATCGCAAGCTTGCGGCCCAGCCGCCTGTGTTTCGTGCAGCCTCAAGCGTCGTCATTGTGGCTGTACGATGCACTCAGCTGCTGAGGCTATGTGGCGTTCGATGTTTTTGCTAGTAGTATCTGCACAGATTCTGAGATCTCCTTGTGTTCTCACATCGGCGCTTTTAAATGATTTCTGTTTTGCTTGACCTTGTTCAACCGTGGCCACGAGCAAAAATTTCAAAGTTGAATTCTGACGGCATTTTTTTTTTTTACTCTTTAACGTTGTTTAATCGGTGACTCCCGTTAAATTGAACGTCGGTTATTGTAAGCATATGAGTTATTTACTCATGCCTGTAAAAAACAACGCTCGAGGCTCTCCTTGCTCATGCCCGCTTATACTGCTCTCTTACTTGTCTTTGGTGTGTTTTCGTGCGCTTATCTTTAAAAAAAAACTCTTACTGTGACTGCCCATACACTGCCGTCTTCCGTCAGGTAGGCTCAGTCGTGATACCCTATGCTTTTTCATAGTTGCTGGCTCGATGCTTTTGGCTCCGATCGAACCCGCTGCAAAATTTATTGCCCTTGATGCCTGTCCGCCTGTGCACTTCGCCTCCTATGTATGCGTGATGTGTCCAATCCTTGCGACGCGGCGTTGCGTTGCAATCCTACTGTTGCGACGGTCCCTTTCGTTTAAAGGCGTTCCATTTCGCCTGGTGAGCGGAAGCTCATAGAAGACCTCGTCATGAGCCGTCGTGGAACTAGAATGAGATCATTTGAGTATCCGGACCGGCGATTTGAGTTGGGCGCTCTGCGCTGCACGTCCGCCACGCCCCAGCGTACATGGGGAAAAACAGCCGACATTTTTGGCCACGTGTAAGTTGCTAGGTGACCCTCCGTTACCCTAGGTTCGTCGTCCCTGACCGGAGCCCCTTTCCGACTGGTTTTGTGGAGCTACATTCCAATTCCATCAAAGGCAGTAAACAACTCCGTTTGCCGCACGGACACGTTTGAATTCTCGAGGCCGACGAAGCACCCTGGTCTTCGGTATGTGACATGAGTTGATGGCCATGCACGAAGAACATTTAACAGCGCGAAGCCGATGCTAGAGGATAAGAACTTTTTCACCATGCCACTGTACTTAGGGTTTGGCACCATCTTCACGACGTGGCCACCTCCGCTCATTCACCGCAGTGTTTTTGTGCCAGTATGTACAGGTGTTGACTCTCCTCTAAACTGCGTGGCTCAGGTAATCCGTGCGGAGCCCGAGGTTTTGGTTTTCGTTTCGAGATCAGGAGAACCAGGCTCGATTCCCACGTCAGAAACCTTTCACCCACCGTTCTTCCACCGGGATGTGGTGACGCAGTGGCATGTACTGACAAGTACTCGAGCGACCAGTGATGTTAACCGTACAGCGGCGAATGCCATCAGACGGAATTATTGCCTCACGGTGTTCCGAACGGGCTCCTGATTTTGCTACACTACGCGCAGATCACGTCACAGGCGTTCAATAGCATGAGCCAAGAACTGAATGGAAGCTTCCATCACTGCGCTACGTTGCCACGGAAACTTCCTCGCGCCGTCGGGTTTGGCGACGTCTATTTGGCAGAAGCTCCAGTAGGGTTGCGCGGTTCGCCAACAGACACATAACATGTCGGAAGACCGTGAACCCGTCCGAGGAGTCAGTTATGACTAAACAGCCCTCGCGTCATGTCTGAGATCATAGTGCAGGTGAGACCCCCTGGAGAACTTGGGACGAGCGGGGCGATAGCACACGTGGGGTTGTCGCTGATCATTATCACGCTGAGGATACCAAATCCTAAACGAGCAGAGGCGAAAATCTTTAGGAACCCATACAAGTGCACGGGTAATTCAGCGCTTTGTGGGAGTCTGGTAGTTAGCAGGCAGAGGGAACCGATGGAGCGTTCGCGAGCTAAAGTGCAAATCAGACCGTTTGCAGATTGGCCACTGTTTGGCTTGGCCGAGCTCGCCAATCTTAGTCGACGGAATCGGAACATTTTTAATCATTA